ACTGCTTTTATTATTCATAAAAGCATATGTGTTTGAAAATTAAGTTACTCATATACCCCAAACAGAAAATAAAATATATAATTAATATACAAGAAACCTGGCAGGAGTGATTATGTTATCCATTTATTCAACTAAGATTTATTGCACATCTACTATATATCATGCATTAGAGAAACAAACCAAGCAAGAAAGCCTCTACTCTGTGAATATGGTATCATATAGCAGGGGAGATTTAAAAACTTAAACAGGTAATACAAAAACTCTATCCTGAAATTGTAATAAGGAGCCTGAGGAGTCAAAGAAGGAAGGCTTCACACAAGAAAAGACATTAAAACTAAGACCTGAGGAGCAAAAACTGGAAAAAGGGAGAGAGAGAAGACAGAAGAAGTGAAAGGCATTTCAGTCAGAGAGAATGAAAATGGAGGGTCCTGAGAAAGCACAGAGCTTGGCATGTTAGAAACAGAGGTCACTGTGATTTGGTGTCCACTGAATAACAAAGTAAGCTTGTTGGAATTGGGACTGTAGAGGTAGACAGAAGGTGGAAATCAGATCACACAGGGCTTTACAATATTGGTAATGTTACAAATGGTAATACTGAGACACCTGGGTGGCTCAGTTGGTTAAGCCTCTGACATCGGCTCAGGTCATTCTCTCATGGTTCCATGAGTTCAAGCCCCCCCACTGGGCTCTCTGCTTTCAGCCTGAAGCCTGCTTCAGATCCTCTGTCTCCCTCTCTCTGCCTTTCTCCCACTTACATGTGTTCGCACTCTCCCAAAAATAAACATTAAAAATTTTTTAATGGTAACATTTATTGGTAATGACAATATTAAGGATTTTAAATGTATTGAGTTCTCTCTCTTTTCATGAGAAAAAATGAAATTTTAGAATACAATTCCTAACAACTGGTAGACCAGTAAAGTTTCTAAGTTGAAAAGAAGGCTTAGAACTAAATTACTAAATTTCCCAATGAAACATCACTACTCTGTCTTGCTCTAGTAATGATAGCTCTTTTAGAGAACAAATAGAATTACTGGGTCTATACTATAGACACTATTCAAGAAACTGTGTATTGTAGTAATATTGCCAGAGCAACTCTATTTTATATATTTTTCCAATATTTTTCATTGTAGTAAAATATACACAACAAAACTTACCATCTTAACCATTTTTAAGCCTACAGTTCAGTGGTATTAAACAGATTCAGAATGCCGCCCAACCATCACAACCATCCATCTTTGTAACTTTTTTCATCTTGTAAAACCAAACTATTCCAACAGTATCTCTCCATTCTCCCCTCCTCACCAGATCCTGTCAACCACAATTCTACCTTTTATAATTCTGACTGTTCTACGTGCCTCATATAAGTGGAATCACGTAGCATTTGTCTTTTTGTGACTGGCTTAATTAGCAAGTCTTCAAGATACATCCATGTTGCAAGATGTGTCCGACTTTCCTTGTTTGTTTGTTTTTTTAACCATAATGAGATACCATTTTATGCCCTATTTTATAAAGAGAATGTGGATCCATAATGTCTCTTATTTACAATGAACAGAGCATAAGGTGATGCAAACATTTTAGAACATAATGCAAACATTCACAAACCCATGACCTGGATATTACAGTCCTAGGTTCATATCCAAAGGAAATTCCTCCTGATGTGCAAGGATGACCATGTCCAGAATGTTCATAGCAGTCTTGTTCACAGTGGCAAAAACCTTGAGCAAAGGGAGATGGAGGAATAGAATGGTGGTATGGTATGAAGAATGATGGTCCTCCAAAGATGTCCAAATTCTAATCCCTGGAACTGTATTGCCAGTTTATTATAAAAGAATATCACTCAGACGAATGGTTGGCTCTCAGTATTGTGGGGCAGAGAAAAGAAGAGATGTGGGCAGTGGAAAATTAAATTAAATTAAATTAAATTAAAGGATACAGAAACAGCCAGATGGATGAGATGAATAGAACAAGATATGAGGAAGAGCAGAGAGCTTCCATGACCTCTCCAAGCACACACTCTACCCAAATCATGTGTTTACCAACCAGAAGACCCCCTCCTTCCTTTTTAAGACTGAATAACTTCCATTGCATGTGCATACCATATTTTGTTTATGCATTCATCCACCAATAGAAATTGGGAAGCTTCCACATAATGGAATAATGAATAGTGAATTCACAGTAGTAGTAGTAGTAGTAGTAGTAGTAGTAGTAGTAATAGTGGATAATGCTGCTATGAACATGGGTATACAAAACCTATCTAATTTTGATAAACAAAATCTTTCAACCTATAACCCTGTATGTATGCATACATACTACATACATAAAATCTAGAGTAGAGGCTCAGAAGGAAAGTGAAAAAGATGACTGATTTCATTACTTTTTTTCTGAAGCATATCTAATTTCTTCTCTAAGTTAGCCTCACCAAATCTAGACTGTAAAAATTTTCATGCCTTTTAGTATAGTGTTATTCTTTATGGCTTTTTGCCTTTTCTTATATAGTGCCCTACCCACATATGAATATTTCCTACATCTTCTACCTTCAAAACTTATTTTACATCCTGCTTTCACCAAACTACTTTCCTAAATGCTTTACTTTGTGTTAGCCTCAAAAAAGAAAGAAAGAATTATATCTTAATCAAAAATAAACATAAATCTGCATTCTCATGTAAAAAAAAAGAAAAAAAGTAAAAGCAACACATTTTGTTAAAGTTCCCCTAAAAGGTTTCTAAAGTATCCAGTAAATTACTAAAGTTACTATAAATCAACAATAATGAAGTCTATTTTAAAAAGCAAAAATTTTACAAGAATATTAAAAATAAAATTATTTTTGGTATTATTTAGTATTTAGTAATCTAAAATTACTTTAGAGTATTAAAAATAAAATTGTAAGTTAATCCTTCCACTACTAACAATAGCAAATTCTTTTAATTTTTCTCATCTGAGAGAAGACGCTAAAAACATGTGGCTAATTTTGAGAAACAGCGGGAGTGACCAGAAGATTAGGAAATAAGAAATAAAGTTGTGTGGGGTTTTTTTCACCTTGAAATTAGACTAGTACAGACAAACATGAAGTACAAACAGCCCTAAAAAATATGGCCACATTATAAACGTTCCATACTACTAGTCTTCATGTAATCTTAAGGATAGCTCTTGATCTGACTCAAAAAGTGAAAGAGGCAGAGAAGAACACCTTTTGGCAGGTGCTAATCATAAACACAAAGATTTACAGCTTGCTGAAAACAATTCCTTTACTATTAATGAGATAATTTCTTATCATATTATGTTCCTGCAATAATACAACAGAACAAATTAACATGATAAAATATAGAAACGTCAAAATGATGCCAATTAGTATAGTGGTGACAGGTTTATCTAAGACTTAAAAAATAATTTATTAAGTTGGGCTTTTAAGAATCAACTTGTCAACACAAAAGAAGGGTTCTTTTAAGGCTTTCCAAGATTTCTAGTATCTCATCTTTACCAGAAAGCCTATTTAATGGCAGCCAATTTGCAAACATCAAATTTAAGATTACAGCTTCAGTAAAACAAGAAGAAATTAAAGTTCACTTCAAGTATTTATGTCGGCATAGAATGAACAGACTGCTTAAGAAAAAACTGACACCAAGGGCTTCATTTCTCCATCATTCATGTGCTGCACACACCAGTTTTCACATTACTTTAATCAACAGACAGACATAATAAGTCTATCATTTAAAGTACACAAATTTATTACTCCTTTTTTGTGAAAGTTTGACATCTTGGTGTATGTCACATATCTGCAAACCAAGTACGCATTCCACTAAAAGGACAAAGAACAAAGACACTAAAATAACTTAGCTTTTTAAGTTATATAAAATAAAGCATTTTCACGAAACAAGAAAACAACCAAGTGGGTGCTTACAATAATAAGACTGCTAGGGTTACTTTAATCATCACTAGATCTTCAATTTCCCTACAATTCAGAATTTAATATTATAATTGACTCCAGCAACTAAAGCACAAACAAAAGCACATTAAATAGCATACAATGACTAATTAACAAACATTTAATGATGAAAACAACAAAATAATTGTATTATTTACATAGATGACCCAATAAATACCCCATGGTAAATACAATCATTTTGTCCTAGATTTATGGAAAATTAAAAAGCCCAGTAAGAAATAAAAAGAAATTAATCACTTTTATACTTATTATGATTAGAAATAAAATTTAATAAACTAATCTCACTTAAAACCATTTTTCAAAAAGTTACAACTTTTTCCAATACTTTTTGTTTTTAGTTTTTTTTAAGTAGATTCCATGCCCAATGTGGGACTCGGTGCTCTACCAAATGACCCACACAGGTGCCCCTTTCTAAGACTTCATTGTTTCATCACAGCATTTCTTATTCTTAATGCTTTATATTTGATACCTTTGTAAGAAAGTATAATACCAAGCATAATAAATATTAAAGATTTACTTAAAAATTACTCTGTCCTATTGATCACAATGAAGGCTGGGAAAAGAAACTAACATTTTCAGGGTTTTTTAACTACTTTAAAACAAATATGACAAAAATCTGATTAGAAAAAAATAATTTTCATGTCTTCCAACACAAATTCATACTTTCTATTCAAATACTCCCATATATCCACACATTTAATGTAGAGATAATGATGATCACTGACCATGTGCCAGGCACTGTTTCAAATGCATTACACTTAACAGCAATTTCTGATTGAGTGATTTCTCACAGCAAACTTTGGTAATTGCTTACCTTATTTTACGCATGGGGCAGAGGTGAGGTACAAAGAGGTTCAACAATTCACCCAAAGCCACACAGTCAGTCAGTGACAGAGCTAGGATTCAAACCTGGACAGTCTGGCTTCATATGTGATTTCAGAATTACTCTACTACACTGTGTATAAGGTGCACATTGTACATGGCACAATACCTAACACTCAGGAGGTAATTTAAAAAGTATAACTATTACCATACTACCTATCCTTTTTTCACTTACTCTGTGATAATTCTGGATTTCCTTTCAGATTCATCATCTTTGGAATTGAAGGGCCATACACATCCACATCTAGTAAACCAATGGCCTTTGACTGTAAGGAAACAGAATTTACTGTGAGATTATTTCCACTTTTCATCAAAGATAACACACATAGCGACAGTAAATCTGACTTTTTATAAAAAAAGAAAATTTACAAAAAAATTCCAAAATCGTAACCTAAACTTTCAAAGCAGGAGTAGAGTATCAACTACGTAGAAAAATACTTTTTGTTGGTTTACTACTTTCTTCTAGAAAACTGACAAGAAAAACCCCCTGCATATGCTTTACACATTGTGCTTCAGATCTCCCATATAGTCTCAAGTAAACTAAAACCTTTTTGATCTGAACACTAACAAATTACACACACACTGTTAAAATAAGGACTTAAAATGCCAAACAAAACCACAGGAAGATGGAGCTTTAACCCTTGGAAAGCCCATCTAACACATCAAAGAATACAAAATGGAAAAAAAAAATCATGGGAACAAGACGATAATAATGCAAGTGAGAAATTCTGATGCAGATCTGGCATGGAAATGCTAATGAGGGTAGTGGCAGACATAATACTGAGACAACCTCTTACATGCAAGTCACAGTTAAACACCCAAGCACTTCTGGAGAATTCATAAACAACTAAAGCTGTTTTTCTTTAATGACCCATCTAGCTACCCAAGGACAGAATATTCTAACTGGTCTCTTTACTAGCTGCCAGTTCATCAACAACACAGCCAAGTACAGGGAAACAAAATTCACTATTCCCAAGTATGCCTTTTTTTTTCCTTCTCCCCCAAACTTTTTCTTTCTCTTTTGACAGATTAAATCAATCTGCTACCGGTTTTTCTACATATAAGCAAACAGAATGTTAATGCTAACTATATGTCTTTAAGTTATGCTTCACCAAGACTGAGAACTCTCCTCCCTCTCTCTCTGTACCCTGGCAAGATAAAATTCTTAACCTCTCAAAAAAAAAAAAAAAAAAAAAAAACTTCATTTTTAATTAAATAATCCCCCATCTTCCATGTTATCTACCTATTTCCAGACACAAAATTACTTTTTAAACCTTGCTGTCTGGTTCCTATTAATACATAAAATAAGGTACAGTCAACATTTACGTCCCTAACTTTATACTTACTCAAACTGCAGTGCTAAGAAAACCATTTAAAGTCCCTGTGTGACTCACAGAGCCTAGAGGACTAGGGATTAAAATCTGCCTCTACCAAAATTTCAGTTTACCATAAAATAAATGAGAAAAGTATTAGCTTTAAAAAAGTAGGAACAGTCAATGAGAAATTCTGACCTGTTTTCAACTCCTCTTTAAACCTCAAACGAAATAATTTAAACAAAACAGAATTAAATTTATTGTGGATAAAAAGATTTTCAAATGAGGGAGACTAAAACCTTAAGAAAATGTAGCTAATTATCAATAATATTATTTAAGGGCTTTGCTAATGCTATAACCACTGAGGTAAGGAAGCTAAAGGGATTTCATTTTAGAAAGATTCCATTTTATGGCACAAAAACAGACACTTAGAAAGACTCCATTTTTCTGATAGGCCCCATTTACTCATGATCTTTGTTTGTCTCTGAATAAGCCAAAGATGCTATGTTCCCACTTTCAGGGGGAAGCAAGAAAGGTAATCTTTCTCTGAGTTTTGTCCTAGGCACTAAACACTGGATAACACCTCAGAAGAGCTGGATCCCAAACATATTCCAGGACATGAGCTTTCAACAAACCTCGGCTGACACTGGCATCAGTACTACTACCTTCAGTAATTTATGAAATAACACCTATTGCTCACCTGACACTTGCCTTTGATTGGACCCTACCCTGGATCCCCAAAGGAACAAGTACCCTAGATCTTCCAATATACAAACCCCTAATTCCAAGCAACAATGAGACTCATTCTCCTTTCCTTTCTTAATCTCCCAGACAGACTGTTACTCTCTCACTCATGCCATTCAATAAACTCTGCTTTCACTTTCTCCACCTCACATTTGATTTCTATCCTGTGCAAAGCCAAGGACCCTCTTAGCTGGTCCTATGGGGAAGTCCCAACTCTGGGACTCAATATCATCCTAGAATTTCACCTCTTTTCCCGATCTTTTATCATGGCACCTACAAAAAAAAAAAAAAAAACTACCACAAAATAATAAATGTCAATAAAAACAAAATACTCTAAGTGGTATTTTTTTGCTCTGTTACTTAATGTTTAATGCTATTTACAAGTTTTATAAAAACTTGAAAAGGTTAGATCCCAGGTTTCAAACTGATCTCCTTAAAGTCAAGTCAAGTAAAATAACTTAGCTTTTTAAGTTTGTTTTCATGAAACAAGGACGCAAATAAATGGGTACTTGCAAACTAAGACTGCTGGGGTCAATTTTTTCATCACTAGATCTTCAAGTTTCCTTTGAAATGTTAAGGAGAATCTATCAACTATTTGTCCTCTCTCCTATAAGAAAACCATGACTGCCTAAAGGTGAACACTTGGTATCAAGGTTCAAGACAAAACTGAGGATCTGCCCTAAAATTTGTTATGGTAGAAACAGATTTTATGCATACCTAGATGGTTGTTAATATGCATTATCACATAAGAATAAAGGCAGGGGTGCCTGGGTGGCTCAGTCAGTTGAACTTTGGGCTCTGGATTTCAGCTTAGGTCATGATCTCATGGTTCATGAGTTCAAGAACTACATCGGACTCTAAGTGTGGAGCCTGCCTAGGATTTTCTCCCTTTCTCTCTGCCCCTCCCTCTCCCTCCACCTCACTCTCTCAAATTAATAAACTTTAAAAAAAAAAGGGGGAGTGGTCAGGAGGGAGATTACAAGATTTTAGAGGTCCTCTGTTTCTGAGAAAATGGAACTAAGGAGAACAAAGAATCTTCTAGGGGTGTCTGGGTGGCTCAGTCAGTAAAGCATCTGACTCCTGATTTCAGCTCGGGTCACGATCTCACAGTTCACAATATTGAACCCCACATCAGGCTCTGAGCCGACAGCCTGCCTGGGATTTTCCCTCTCGCTCTCTCTCTGCCCCTCCCCCACTAGCACTCTCTCAAAATAAACATAAAAAAAAATCTTCTATGTGTTAGGTTTTCTGAATACTCTCTCTAGAGTAGTTATTCACTGACCTAAACTTAGTACCAAGGCTTACGTATATCAAAAAGGAAACAGGAGAGGAAGGTATGAAGATCAGGAGGAAGAGACAAAAGAGGAAGGATGAAAGGGGCAAAGGCAGAGAAAGAGAGAGGGAGGTAAAGACAGAGGGGAATTAATCAGCAATTTTCATTAAGAACCTGGATAAACTAGGCCTCTACAGCCTAGTGGCTGTAGAATCAGAAATTTAGAGCTCTGTGGACAAATCGGAATTTAGAGATTTTAAAAAAACTTTAGAAAGCAAAAAAATAAAATAACAAAAAAGAAAATTTTTAGAAAGCATGCCATCCTAAATTACCCAAATAAACACCTAAACTTCCCTTAATTATACCTCCCCATTGCTTGAATTCCTTCTTGATGCCAGGCATCCTAAAACGTTTTATTTACATTTCTCACTGACTCCTCAAAGCAATTATGCTAGGTGGTGCTGGGCTTATTTATAGATGAGAAACTATAACGAGAACTTTAACAAGCTCTGACTACAAAAGACTTAGTAGGGGTCAGTATACTTTTCCCTAGAGGGCCAAACAGTACTATTTTAGGCATTGTGAATCATATGATCCTCAACTACTCAACACTACCACTGTAGCACCAAAGCACAGACAATATGTACATGAATGAGCATAGCTGTGTTCCAATAAAAATTTTTTAAAAAATTAAAAAAAAAAGAGAGGATTCAGTCCACAGGTCACAGTCTGCCAAAACTGATTTAGAAAATAAGCTTTTTATGACCAAATTATTCAATCACCCAACAATCTGAGTTTTGCCAAGAGCAGGTAGGACACAGTCATCTCTTTCAGTGTCAGAAGAACTATATCAGTAAAGACTTACTTCCATATTTTTTTTTAATTTTTTTTTTTTAATTTATTTCTAGGAGAGAGAGACAGCGTGAGCAGGGGAGGGTCAGAGAGGGAGTCACAGACTGAAACAGGCTCCAGGCTCTGAGCTGGCAGTCAGCACAGAGCCCGACGTGGGGCTCGAACCCACGAACTGGGAGATCATGACCTAAGCGAAAGTCGGATGCTTAACCGACTAAGCCACCCAGGCGCCCCTTACTTCCATATCTTTAATTGGGTAGTTTTTAAAAACAATGAAGAGCACCCTTTAAATGTGGTTTCACTGGAACTAAGCATGTCTTGCTTAGATTTTATATATCAAGAATAAAATTGGTGTCCATTAAACGAAAACACCAAGCCTATACTAAGTAAAACATGTCATCCTTAAAATTCGCATAGCTTCTGGACCAGTAAAATTTCCATACCTACACAAATAGCTTAAACAAACTTTCAACTCTAGAATTCAATAATGTTCAAAAGGTGCCAAATAAACTTCATTTGTTTTTTACAATTTACTTCATTATTTTTAAATAGGCTCTTATTATACATGTATAAATAGTCTTCAAATTTAAATTTTCAAAGACAGTTTTATACTGTAGGACATAAATGAGCAAGGTAGAAACTATAAATAAATATATGCAGCTGGGTGTCTAACTAGCTAAGTTTTATTAATCCTTCCACCTTGTTCCTCCTAAAATAATTATATATAGTCAAGAAAGCTCCAATTAGGACTTCTCTTACATTTAATTGCAGCCAAGCTCAAAAGAATAATCACTACAAAAGCCTCACTAAATATACAACAGATAAAATGATTATTAACAAAAATAACTATAAACTTACTATTGTAAAATATGATTGCCCAATCTTTAATATTACCATAAATGTATGCTAGTACCTAACATTATATTCTTTTTCTGATTCTTTTGCAGTTCACAAACTCTAGCAGATGCCATAAAACAAGACAGGTCAAAATCAAACCACAAAATACTATTTAACTTTTGAGATTTGTTTCTTTATAATTCATAATACCCTGTGAAAACTAAAAGGTAGCAGACTTGCTCAGATG